AACCACCACCGATAGATTTTCTGAGAATTCATGGGGCATATTCAAATACACCAGATACTATATCGCCCAATCCATCTAGTGGGACACATAGTGGTATACAGAGTGCCACTAGTGATATACTGGAAAATTTAAAAGCACACAAGATTGGAAATAATACTAACCAGAATAATGAACAGGATAAGAATAATGAACAGAGTAAGAATAATAACGATAAGATACAGAAAAGAGTAGAAGATTTATCACCGGACGACTGGAATAGGTTAGCTAATGATAATCAAATAATAGAGCTTAATAAATTAGGGGAGGGCAATGGAGGTAGTGTGTCGAAATGTACATTAGTAAACGGATCACAGATTTTTGCTTTGAAATTAATTAATGCAGATCCCAATCCAAACATACAGAAACAAATAATAAGGGAGTTACAATACAACCGAGTGTGTGACTCGCCAAACATTGTCAAATATTATGGCACATTCATGGTAGAGAAGCAACTGATGATTGGGATTTCGATGGAATACATGGGGGGCAGATCGTTAGATGCCATTTACAAACGTGTTATTGAACTAGATCCTACAAACAGAATCAATGAGAAAGTGCTAGGTAAAGTTGCGGAGTCAATTTTAACGGGTTTAAACTATTTACACCAGCAACGTATTATCCACAGAGATATCAAGCCATCTAATATTCTTTTGGACAGTGAAGGGAATATCAAGCTTTGTGATTTTGGAGTCAGTGGTGAAGTCGTGAATTCGTTGGCCACTACTTTCGTAGGTACACAGTATTATATGGCCCCCGAGAGAATAATGGGTAAGCCATATACTGTCAGTTGTGATATTTGGTCTCTAGGGCTTACATTGCTAGAAGTTGCAATTTGCAGGTTCCCATTTATTACAGACGACACCATGGTTGGGCCAATCGAGCTATTATCATTAATATTGGAATACGAACCAAGGTTGAACGATATCCCCGAACAGAGCATTTTTTGGAGTGATTCCTTCAAAAACTTCATAGGTTACTGTTTGAAAAAGAATAGCGAAGAGAGACCAAGTCCTAGGCAGATGTTAAGTCATCCATGGTGTATCAGCCAACTGAAAATTAAAGTCAGAATGGATAAATTCGTGAAAAAATTGTGGGGCCAAATGGATTAGAACTAGACTATGTGTTAATGCTTTGCAACGATCTCATATATCAGTATGGGTCAAATTATTTATTACAGTTTGAAAATATAAAGACCGAGGTTTAAATACATTAGTCACGCTAATAATTATAATTTAAAATATGAATAGAAGAATATTATAATCGTCGTTGTAGGTTGTTTGCTTGAATATTTCTTATAGTAATAGGGTCAGCATAATTGGCTAATAACCAATACTATTGAAACCAGTGAGTATGTTGACAGTTACCTTCATTCTCTAGAGTATTTGTATTAAGGATAATTTTATTTAAGCAGGCTATATATATTTTCTAGTATATTTGCCATTTTGATTGCAACGATCCACAGTAATTCGGTTAAGAAATGGGACAATCACCCAAATATTTGTGAACTTTAATCCTTACATAGAAAATAATCCGTAGGCTATATTGCTTGATTAGAAAATTAAGATTTCTGCATTGTCAAGCTTGAAAAACTGACTTGAATGTAATATTAACCTACTGTGAATCAGCTTATGCTGCATTTCTGGAATATCTTAGGATGTCTTTATGAAATGACACAAAACCTCGCGGAGGATTTTTCTCAAAACTCACCTTTATCCAATCAAATAAGTGTTAAAAGCAGTAGAACATAATCAATACAAACTAATTAATAAAACTAGTAGATTATTACAATATGCCAGTTCCATTTGAAGGTTTAATACCATATGCTATTATGGCAGCCTTTTTTGGCGTCGCCGGTCATGGTGTTGGTTTCGTTAGATACTGGGACAATGGTTGGAAGAACGATAGATACAACTTAGACTCATGGGATGAAAAAATGATTGAACGAGACTTCTTATTAACAGGAGTTAAGAGAGGACAAAGTAGTGAGGCTGTAGCTCCGGACCATTTCAAGACTGCAGATGTCCAATTACAAAGATACTGGACACCATACAGAGACCAATACTTTGTTTTCAGAGAAAGATTATACAAGGGATATGTTACCGGTGTGTGGGACTTTTCATGATGGTGTTGAAGATATTTATCGTAATTATAGGTTAAATATTTGCATTACTTTACGTACTCATTAAATAAAAAATGTTTCAAGATGTGGTGTAGAATGAATTATCATTATATGAATATTGTTTTCAGTAGAGAACCAATGGAGATCCGCAATCGTCAAATAGAGATATAAGACTACAAGATTATTAAATTGAAATATGAAATTGAATAGGAAAGTATACGTAGTGTGCTACATTAAATTTCTCGATGCTATCGATGATATATGGAGAAATAGGCGAATTGATCTATTTGAAATCTTTATAGGTCCATTTTTCAGTAATCTTTGGTGTGTACCTTCTTCTCTTGGCTACTGGAACTCTGGTTTCAATTAAACCGTTTTCTTGTAAGTTAATCATGGAATCATAAAATAAGTTACCTTCGGGTTTCAAATTCTTTAAATTATTGGTGAGCTCATCCGATAATTTAACTTCTAACGGTCTGGTTATGGAATCATACTTGAATAACTTCTTTGTTTTGTTCGATTTCGACGTTGTATTTTCTTTTGCTTCTTGCTTTGCTGCTGCTAATTCATTATACTCATCTAATTTCGCTAATTCATTAATTTGATTCTTTAATTCCTTCAATTTTTGTTCTAATTCCGTTCTTTGCTTATGCTTTGCCTCTCTGTTTCTCTTGGACTTTGTCTTAATCTTCACTTGTGTTGGCTTATTTATCGATAACTTAAAATCTTGGTCAACTTCCTCTTCTACTTCATCGTTTTGTTCGTCTCCGGAGGATTCTTCTTCGTTCTCATCCAAGTTGGCAATTAAGTGCTTGATACGCTGTTGATGATCAACAAGTTCTTGACGTTTCAATTCCTTTTCATTTTCAGTAGTATATTCTTTATTTATCAACGCTTTCCATGAAGCCAAAGATGGATTATACGATTTTCCTGCATCCACTTGTTTCTCTTGTTCGCTCAATCTAATAGCGTCTGTCTTCAATGTCTTTGGTGCATTCTTTGCCTTGGTAAGTCCACTCGTGGACTTCGTAAGTAAGATTTCTGGTGTATTATCAACAGGTTCTTCACCCCAAAGATCTTCGTTCTTTGCTCTAAACAACCCGTCTTTGTCAACCCTAGTTTTTAACTTGGATTCCCCATTCACCTTCCCTGATAACTTCATCAACCTGTGTACTTCATGCTTGTTAACACCTTGGATTTTCTTGTTGTTTCTCTCGACAGCTAAAGGCTTAACCTTGGATTTATTTGATAAGATCTCAGTACTCTTTAATTTTTTTCCTGATTTACCTCCTATTGACACATCTCCTTCTGTATCTATTATGAAATCATCACTGTCATCTCCAAGAAGTCTTTGTCTATTTTTTGCTTCTTCTAATCCTTTTTCCACATCATTTATATCGATATTTTTCCTCCACGACTTCTTCCCTTTTCTTGACCGTTGCTGCGTAGTTTTAGGTCTATTTTGTTCCATACTTACCTCGTTATCTTTATTTTTCATCTAGGACATATATATTTAGAAAAATTATTTGATGAGATGAGCACCCAAAAAAATCAATGTCGCGAAATCCAGTTCCTAATGCGATATCAATGTCGCAGTGGCCAGTGTCTCACTCTGTACTATAGCATATGATCACATCATAGAGAGTTAATGCAATTCAGGAGCCCTCCGGAAGTACTCATATGCCGCGGATAGCCTAAAGTATAACCTAGGGTAATATTGTAAAAGCTATGCAGGTCAGCCGAAATAAGGAGTCCTAATCCCTCAATATCATCTGATCTTAACTTCTTTAGTTAGCTATGACAGCAACCTAATTCAAAGGTGAGTCCGCAGCCTAAATCTGTATCCTAATCCGTATCCTAATTCAGTAAAAACGAATTACGCTTCTGCGGCCTTGATAATTTGGCAGGGCCGTAATGGTCACCAACGCATCACAGCAGGCCTCGGGCTTTTTTAGTTGAAACCGTAATTTTGCTCCTTTACTCCTCTATAGCTTCCGATTATTCTTAAGAAATTGTCTTCCGACTTCGATTCTACCGCACTACTACAATTATTACTACATGACTATACCGAAATTATTTCATTGCCATTGCCCTGATCTCCGAGAATCGTACTCGTACACACAGATAGCCACAGAATTCTCCTAATCACTCCATATCAATCCCCATACACATCTAACCCACTAAGCACATAACCTACATACTCTCGTCCAATAAATTGAACACTACCTTCAATACCTGTGGATAGTCACCAATCTGCCCGTTTATGTTCGTATAACTAGGCCTGCAGTATTTTCTCACCACTAAATAACCTAAATTCTTAGCTTGGTCCGTTATTATGTTGCTCGAGTGGTCCTGGAGCACACTGGAATATATCTGTCCCGAGTCCTTGTCATTTATCGAATAAACGTAGCTTCCAACACTAGTGTTCGTCATTTCGTTTACATACACGTTGATGCTGGACTTGTCATGCTTGTCAATGCTGATCACTATCTGATAATCATCTCCATTTATATTCTCTTCTTTCGTGATAATCATTCTGCTCACTATCGGGAATACTTTTATGTTATGCACTTGTAACCTAGAACTAACTATTCTCGACCGTCATCTATATTGTAAAACGGTCTAGACATAAAGGGTCTGATTAATTTTTCACGAATAACGTCCTGCTTATGTAATCTGAACCGGTTGCTGCTATTATAAGAATGTAAGTTTATTGTTAAATATATTACCCTATACTTAGGTGAAAACACAATTTTTTACGTTTATGCTTTTATATTAGTGAACAATTGGCTCTAAATTGATATTGATTTACACATACAGTACCATCACAAAATATTGTAACATGCTTGTACAAAACAGAGATTTAAGCGGTTCCGATATTGCCGCCAAGAGGCAGTATGGTGGTGGCGAAAGTATAACAGGAGCAAATAATGATGCTGGAAATGATGTGAGTGATGAAGGGAATGTAACAGATGACTTGGTTAATAAAACAGAAAATTTGGCTTTAAATGAAGGGGGAATTGGGGAAGACGGAGTTAAAGATGGACAAGATCAACCCCATACCGAGAGACAATATGAGACAAATAAACATGACAGTAAATACAGTACTTTTGAAGGATATGTGGGAGAGCATGGTCGGATAGATGACGAACTGTCTAAGGGGTCTGGGGATGAAGAATTCTTACAGTCCTTAAATAATTGCATGTTTAAGGAAACTGGAGATCAGTCAGATAATTTTCCGTTGAAAATCTGCGTTTGCGACGGGGACAAAGATGAGGCAAATGAGTGTATTGAGGACGATAGTTTCAAGTTCACTAGGGAGCTGGGAATTTCGTTCACCAATAAAGGGGATGCAGACCGTGTGGTTACAAAATTGTTGGACTGCGGAATTGAGGTTACATTTAACTACGCAGATTTTATTTCGCATCCGGGGAACTTGTTCATCAAAAACCTCTCCGACGAGCTTATTAATTACGATGCGCTTTTTGAATACTTTCAAAAGAATAGCAGATATCATTCTCTTGTAGACATCAACATTTTCAATAGTGTTGAAGATGATATATTTGCAATCTTGAAATTTCTGAATTACCTCGATGTTGATCATATTTTGAAGAATCTTGATGCTAGTAAGAACCCTTTCAATGTAAACGAGAATGTACCGATTTATATGAACAAGTATATTAGCAAGAAGGAAAGAAAGTTGAAATATACCGAGAATTCGGCACTTTCTGAGAATATTAATAATTATAATACAATTGTTATGGAGAACTTGAGTGATTTCTTGAACAGCTACAATCCTGATATGTCGATGATTGAAACGTTCTTATCCAAATTTGAAATATTTAATAAGATTGAAAGCATATATTTCCCAATTGTTCAAACGACTGATAACAACTTCAGCCTCTTGAATTTTGGGTTTATTAATTTCGAGGTAAATGAGAATTTGAATATTAATGTGTTGAAGTGTTTGTACTATCTTAATGACTTGTCTTTTACAGATTTCATGAAGTTTGGCCCAGATGATGCATATAATATAGAGCAGGACTTATGTAAGTCTGATCTTTTGCCATCGGCTGATCACATCAATCTCAGAGTTTCAATTGGACAACATAAACATAATCATTATTTATACCAATGTCAGACAAATCAATTATTATGTTTGCAAAATAACAAACTATTGTTGAAGTATCTTGATATTTCGTTCTATAACATTTTGTTAAATTCATTCTCCAAATTTGTCAATTACCAAGAGACAAACATTTATGTCAATAACCTACCTGTTATATTCGAAAATGACGATCGCTTGTGGGAGAAATTTTGGTTGCAATTCGGTAATTGCATCAAATCAGCTAAAATTATTAAGCCCCAGTTTTATTCCAAGAAGAATGAAGTTGAATTAGGAAAGATTGGTTTTGTCTTTTATAAAGATTTCAAGATGGCATTGAGAGCAATATTATTAACTAACAACAAATTAATAAGCTTTGGGAATTTTAAGAAAGTTTTTGTTCAAACATCGTTTGCGATATAAAAGAATAATCACAACCATCAAAGACCATCGTTACCTTCAAATTATTATCAAGCTCATAACCAATCAAATAAGTACTCGAAGAGATTTAGTTTGCCTACAATAATGGACTATAACTATTATCATCAACCGCCTTCAGTTCCAGTTCCACCTACTGCACCAGCGGGAAATCCTTCCGATTACATTAATTTTTACAATCCATATATGTATCAGTTCAACTATCCATATGTGCCGTTTGATAAGGATTTAAGTCCAAATGAGGATTCAAACAACCCAGAGAATATTTCGCCTCCATTAAACTATTATTATCAGCCCTATTACCAATTCCCTTCTTCGAATAATTATCAGCCATTATCTACTCCTCCTACATCTCCTGTATTCAAACTGAAAAAGACAAATAAACCAAAATAGAACTGATCCTTTTTTCTGCAGTTGATACGGTTAAAAAGGATTATACCAATCTCAAACATTCAGGTAGAGAAATAATGTGAATAGTATAAAAATGATGTATATATTTCTATAAATTCAAAATTGATTCATGAGTTCAAGTACGACCGTGTACTAATCTATGAACAACTCAAGCTCTAAATCGAGTGTTTTTAAACCTACATCCTTATAACCTAGAGAACCATGGGGAACATAAAAAATGACATTACTATATACACATATGGACATATCTAGTTTACAAGCTAGGAGGATTGTCTCTTGGACTGGGCTTTAAATGTACGTCTTCTGACTTAAATTTTTCAACAACCTCTGTCGTATCTTCGTCATTCACTTGTTCGACAGTGGTGACTTCCTCAATGTAATATTTCAACATACTCTCGATACCATTCTTTAATGTAACCGATGACGAATCACACGATCTGCAGGCACCCTTTAATCTGAGATAAACTGTTCCATTATTTTCAGCAAAGCTAACAAATTCGATATCTCCTCCGTCATCCTGTATGGCTGGTCTTATTCTAGTAAAAATTAATTCTTTAATCATAGTGACAGTTTCATCATCATCTTCGCTGATCTCCATATCATTAGTTAACTCTGATTCTTCATTAATAATAGGAGTTCCGTTATTCAAAAATTCAGTCAAAATGGAAAAGATCTCTGGCTTTAACAATGACCAATGTACCTCCTCATCTGCCTTTTCAATAGTAATGAAATTAGATCCAAACATGATTGATTTTATTCCATCGATAGAGAACAACTTTAAAGCTAATGGACTACAAGCTGCCTCTCTACCACTTAAGAACTCTCTGGTTTCATTCTCCTTCATGATTTGCATAGATGGCAAGAACTTTAATGCATGTTCGTTTGGTGTTTCCATCGTTTGGATGAATAAATTACGGGTACTATTGATTATCAAACGGTTTATTTGTGGGAACCTCGTAAATGGAACGGTGAATGCTCTTTTCGCCATAAACATTTCTATAAGTATTATTAATTAAATGGTTTTATTTAGAACTACTATGAAAAAGACTATAAAAGTTTGTACTATAGTATTAATAAGACTTCTAGTTCGAAGACAATCCCCTCGGATATACAATACCGAGGACCGATTATTTTTATTAGTTGTCCCGGAAGTCGGAATTTGACGCCAAAAAATTTGTTTCTTTTTATCTATTTGATCAGTAACTTAATTATCGAATAAGAGCTTTTCAAAAAGAGAAGTTGCTTTCTCTTCGAATTTGGAATCAGCTAGTTCATTACTACTGATAGATTGATCTAATTGTAATTTATTTTCCGCCAATTGTAGCATGTTCTCTTCAATTGTATTTTTGGCAATCAACTTTGTCACAACAACTTCGCTTGTTTGGCCGACTCTATGAGCCCTATCTTCTGCTTGTTTGTCATCATGAGGATTGAAGGATTGGTCAAATATTATGACATGATTAGCTGCCACTAAATTGATACCAAAACCTCCTGCTTTGGTAGATAATAAAAATACCGGAATTGTCTCATCATCATAAAATTTATCGATTAAATCTTGTCTCGTATCAACACTTGTTTGTCCGTCCAATCTCAAAAACTTTATGTTCGATATGGTTAACACTTTTTCTAGTATGTCCAACATTTGAGTGAACAATGAAAAAATTAACACTTTTTCTTTCTTGTTTATGATTTTGTCCAATATCTCGATTAGCTTTGAGATTTTACCACCATTGAGCCAGTCTTCGTCTTGTAAAACAAACTTGCCTAAGGTCTTTGGAAATTTCTCACAAAGGTTATTTAATTCATAATCTGCCATGACTTTCATATCTTCCAATATGTAAGTTTGATTAGCATCAAAATATTCTGGTTCGTTCATAATGGCCTTAGCCATTTTGGCAACCTTTTCATCCGTGAATAATGTTCTGAATAATAATGGATGTAATGAAGCCTTCCTTAATGACATCATTACATTTGAACTAGATGGGATGGCATTCTTTCTTGCTTTTTCATTTTCTTTACTTGACAATTTCTTTCTTCTTTCTCTTTCAATTCTGGTTCTCTTTCCTTGATTCAAATAATCATCGTAAATGGCACGTTGAGTAGGAGTCAATTCACAATTTTCAATCTTGTGAATTTTTCCCGGTAAATGCTTCAAAACCTGTACCTTTTTACGTCTTAATACAAAGGGAGTCATCATTGTTTTCGCTTTGGCTATGGCTTGCAACGACAATAATGGGTTGTAATTACCTTCAGATGAATCAACAGTTGAAACTTTTTGATTGAATAATCCTTGGAGATCTTCACGCTTATCGTTGAAAAGATTTGGCAACATGAACGCTAAAAGTGAAACTAATTCTTTTAAATTGTTTTGTAATGGTGTACCTGTTAATAATAAACGATACTTTGCATTTAGTCTCATTAATTTATTGTATCTTTCGGAAGTAGAATTTTTCAACATATGTCCTTCATCGTATACTATCATGTTAAAATTTTGATTTCTCAAGAACTTAAAATCTGGTGCAGCTCCTGTGGCTAGATTATAAGTCGTAACCATAACATCATAATCACTATTCTGTAAGTCATATCTTAATTCTTCTCTTTCGCCTTGAGACCCATAGTAAGCCTGGACCATTAAATCAGGACAGAACTTATTAAATTCTCTAAGCCAATTTTCTAAAGTTGACGATGGTACAATAACCAAGTGAGGACCCTTCTTAGTTTCAGTTTCCTTTAAATGCGCCATAAAAGAAATGACCTGACAAGTCTTACCTAAACCCATTTCGTCAGCTAAAATACATGATAAATTATTACGATATAAAAGATTAAGCCAGTTAATCCCAACTTGTTGATAGTTCTTCAAATCAATATCTTCTGGTAATAATGATGGTTTCTCTTTAATATATGTTAAGCTTTTACTTTTATGGTGTATAATAATATCTTCGTCCTCTTCTTCATAGTCATCTTTATCTTCAATTTCAATCGCATTTTGAGTAGGTTCAAGTTCAACCATTTCAAGCTCCCCATCTCCAGTAACCGTGACGCCCCACTTCTCCATCTGTTTAGAAATTAAGTCACCGTATTCAGAACATTTCTTAATTAATGAATCAACTGCTTTATACCCCTTCAAACTAAATTCTGTGTTTTCAATAATTTTTTGACCTAAAGTCTTCCTTTGCACCCTCCTCTTTTTTTCATTACCGCTCTCTTCTGTCTGCTCGCTTGGTAATTCAAATTTATCTTCAGCAACTACATAGATATTTTGAAATGGTCTCTTGGTAATAATTAAATCTGAGACCTTAGGTGGGACGTTACAAATTTCAATAATATCTTGGGTTGAAGCATTATTCAAAAATTCCAAAATTTGAGAATCAATAGTGGTCAAGCCAGTCTTGTAACCTTCATCATCATCTTCTTCAGACATATCATCACTCATGTCATCGTCTTCTAAATCATTATCACTAATCTCTATGACTCTATCGTTTTTCGAAGCTTTCGCAGCTCTTCTATTTGCTTTAATCTTTTCTTCCAACTTTTCTAGATCGTCATCTTCAACAATTCCATCATTTCCCGTATCATTTTGATCACTTTCTACCGCATGTCCGTTCATAGTCATCTTGAGTTTAGGAATGTATTGATCTTGATAATTAAAGGTTGCTGCCACTGGAGATCCTCTATTAGAGTCATCGCCACTGCTGACAGTGGATGCACGTACAAGCTTTCTCCTTTTGGGCTGAATATTTTCCTGAGGTCTGAAAACCTGATCAATACTGGGCTGTTGCTTTGGTTTATATTTATACTTATCCAAAATTGACACTTTCGGTTTGGCTATGTGGACCTTGGTAGAAGATTGTTTCTCTGGTGATTCCAATAATACTGGTGGAGGTGGAGGTGGGGGTGCTGCAGACTTAATTCTGGCTTTACCTCTTACCTTGATAGGCGAAAGATCTTCATCATCATACTGGTCATCAAAATTCTGGAGTTCCTTTTCAGATCTTTCTTTCTCCTCTTGTTCTCTTCTTTGGTTTATTTCTTCCTGGCGTTGATATTCCCTTAATAACCTTTCTTTCTCTTGTTTCATCTTTTCCTCTTGACCTAATTCTCGCTGTCTCTTAAGTTCTGCTTCATGTTTTCCTAAAATTTCAGCCTTATTGTAGTTGTCTGTTAGCCACTGCGTTATTTCCCGGAGGTTACCTTTACCTTTGACAAAGCCCTTAAATATATCACTTTCTTGCAAGTAATAAAATCTTCTCTTCACCATAGGAAAATCTTTATGGTTTCTAATAGCTTGTCTTTTAGCCTCAAGCTTTCTTTCTTTATCCTCTTTATTGTCTGAACCATGGTTTATTTGGGTTCTACTTGGAGGCATTAAATCATTACTAGATTTGGTTGGTGATGATTTAACATGAATTGGTGATGAGGTAGGTACTTGAACGTAAGAAGATTCCTTCTTAGGAGAATCTTCCACCTGAATAGCACTATCTTCTGATGGGTCCTTATACCAACTCATATCTATTAGTATACTATCCGTAATAGATTGTATTTTATGTTTAAAGTAATGTGAAATTTTTACCTTCAATAAACAGAAATTTTGGCGATGATAAAAACCACGCGTCAAGATGAAAAATCGACTTTCGTATACCAAGCTATGGCACACAGTTGATAATATCCTATAAAGAGACTACGGGCTTAGATTATTACTTACCACTCATGATTATATCGTAGGAATTAATATTTTTTAATTTTAATATACTATATTATATAACTGCAGTTCAATAAACGTAAGGCACAATTTTGTAAGGAACAATCTCTTCGTATTCTTCCCATTGCTTACCATACTTTAATCTACATTTAGCTTCATCCCTCGTTTGTCTGTGAACTAATAACACCCCAAAATAAATAACGTAGAAATAGGTTAATAATGTTTGGAACCCGGTAGGTAAACACCATGACCAACCAATTAACCAATCACCAAAGTAATTCGT